ATATCACAATAACATTTTTTTAATTTCAAGGTTTAAATCTCACAATAACATATAGTTCATCTTAAATATTTAGTAACTACTATACTTGATAAGACATCTAAAATATTTTGAAGCAGAATTACAAGGGAAAAATTTGAATCGATTCTTATATTATATAGTTATTCGAATAACTTCAAACAAATCAAACTGGGGAGATTCTATGTAACGTTTTACAGTGTAGGGCAAAGAGTCTTTTTTGTTGTCATTTTAAGAGGTTACATAGAATCTGCTCAGCAGGGTTTTTGTAGACAAAGCATGATTTTAAAAGAACTGATCTAAATAACACGAAGTCTTTTATCTAAGAATAATTCATCAAATCTACATTCTATGATGTGTTTCAATTTTAGAGTGGGAGAAAGTTTATTCTAGCTATTGTAAAACACATTAAATTTGCGGACATCTTGAATTTGTATATATTCGCGTAAGTGTAAAATCGCGAATTCAGGATGCCGGGAATTTAAAATCATATAACTGGCAAAAATTTAACCACTTGCAAAAATTGCGAAAAACATAAATACATGTATGTGAAAAGAAACAAATGTACGAATTCATAAAAATTGCTCCCACGAATTCAATGTATTTACAGTATCAAAGTGCAGCAAAAGGGTTCATAGCAAATCAAAATGAGGTATTGCCTAGTAAGCACCATGTCAGGTAGAATATGGGATATATCAACTTCAGTAATCCAGAATCTTCCCCTCCCTCTATTGTTATATGATGGATGAAAAATAATTGACAAAATAAATTACATTAATATATTAGAAAATCTCTAGAGAATTGTCACATTGCTTGAGTGGATTTGAAGTTATCTGAGGACAGATTCTTTGGATGACGAAATATTACGATTTTCAATTCACTAATTTTTGATTTGTATGTCATTATGTTATCGTGTCACATGTTATCTGCTTTGATTGTGACGCATGATTTCATATTTTGATTACTCAACCTGATGAAAAATTTGGATTTCAAAGTCTTTTTCTGCAATTATACATATATAATAAAAAAATTAAACTGTACCATTGCTGGTGTCTACATTTAGTGCATTTCTGATATACGAAAATCTTCAAAATATTGGTAAAAAAATAGACTTAATTTCATTGCATCACATTATAAAACTTTTGATTTTTCATCAAGACCTCTGACGTAAAACTAATTTTGAACTTTTTATGTTTCAAGTAAGTCCAGATGTCACTGAATATGGATGTTTTTTGCAAGCAATCAGAACAAAATGATTTATACTCAAGCCTCAGTTCCAATATACTATTACATTTTTTATACAATTCATCTTAATCAAAATAATTTATAAATTTTCTCAATCGGAAAAATTCGATATTGAATTGGAATTTATACCATTGTTCCATGTCGGAATATGTTTCATTAAGACGTTAATTTTTATTCATTTATCATAAATGGAGATTGTCTATATTAACGTGACTTTTTTACTATTAAGACTATGATTTGTGTTTTTATAGTGTAACATCAGGGGCCTTTCATATCTATCAAGTTAAGCCCTCATCTTGATTTCTCCAATTGAGTAAGTTTATTAAATTTGTTTGTCGTAAAATTTTCTGATATGAGCAGAACGCACCAAAGTACCATGATAATAAAACACAATATGGAGTTTCCACCCAGTTACGTGACACAGGGGTTCATCTGTTATGCTACTAAATGGGGCGTAATCAATCGCTACAGAGTTAGAGTTAATTAATATTTTCAATCACAACAATTAAAGGTTCTCGTAGGATTACTAAATTCACCATTCGATTATTATAAAAAATCATTCTGCAAGAATTTTTGATATTCCATAATTGTCCCCAGAAATTAGCACATACGTGTATATATATATACATGTATTTGTTTGATTCAAGAGGTAGGTTAGGCCCCTACAGGTTGATGTCCTGTAAATAATGTTAATGACCAGGAAACCAGGCTTGCTTATTGTGCCCTTAAAAATCTCAAAAAAATGATTAAAAAAACGTTTAACAAGGAAGGTTTAGGCTTATAGGTCTTTTGATGTCTTCCTGGTCTTAAAATGTACAGGTAATAGATATCATATAAATCGAGATGATAAACATTTTGCCAAGGTTCCACTTTTGGATTGTGGAGAATTTTCATAGACAACACTTATTCCAATTGATGACATAAAAAAAATAAACATTCATGTATATCCATCCAAATCATATAACATACTGATTTACTTTTTGTTTTCATACTTTTAAAGACCAAAAAACAAGTTAATACACCTCTGTAATATACTACAGTATCTTTTCCAGTGTGACATCATCACAAACTTGGTCTTAACTATGTTCAGTGACCATATAAGGGGGTAAATAAATTTGAAAGAAAGTTAAATCCTTGACAATCAAAAGGACAAATCAAGAAATTAACCCAAAAGCCATCGTCAAAGGTTCAGTTCTATTTAAAGTACATAACATAATCATAAGAATGGCATTTCATTCAAGCGAAGAAGTGATTACGAAATCCAGTCAAGACCTGGGAATCTTATATAGCATATGACACCACGGAAATTTTTCACTCGGCATAATCCTCTAATTTTGGTTCATTGACGAGATTATTGTGAGAATCTTAGTATATCAAGGAAAAATAATCAAAGGATTACTACGATTTTCTACTATTACCCATTTATTAAATAAGGTTCACAAATAAAAGATAATTAGGTTATAAATCATGTTCAATAGGATGTAGTACTATTTCTCAGTTAACTTCAAACGAAATTAGTTTTTTCTTAATAGACAAGAATGTAAGGCCTACTGCTACAATGAAGTAATTGTCATTGCATATTTTGGATGCCAGGGCCAATTTATTCTGCAGAAGAGGGACTTTCATTATAAACAGAGAGAAAAACTCTAATCTTTCTGGAAGCCTGAATTTTTTAACTTGGTGGTATTGACATTTTCCTCTTAGCCATCTGGTGACCAAAGCTGGAACTAATGTTATCTCACAGATATCCAAGTAAATTATTCATCGGCTTTAGTTAGACTACATTATTGAACTCCCGAAGTCATATCTGGTATCTGATCATATATACTAATATTGTTAATCTTTACCCCCTCCCCTCTTATCAACTTTCTGACCAAAATGGTTATACTTGTTACCCGGGGGTTGTCAGAGATTTACACTAGCTAGTTTACACATATAGTCAATTGAATGACAAATTTAAGTAAAAAATTAGGTCAACACACTGGTCATTAGCTTTCATAATTATTTTCTAAAATGTAAAAATCATTACACAATTTGTGAAATCGAACATCCCAAGACTGATGCAAGAGACCATGCACACATTTTCTCCTGGTTATAGTGGCTTCCTTTAATAATCAGAAAATTTTGCTCTCTTTTTTCCTGGCATGGCATACCTCAACAAGGCATGCAAAATGTCACCACCTGCCATTTGTTACAGATGCCAACCGCCGATGCTGAACACTGTCCACGAAAAAGTTGGAGACTATAACAAAATGTCACCACTTGTGGTGGAAACATGATAAAAGAATACAAAATGGCAAAATAAATGAATCAGAAAAATTCAAATTCTTCCAATCAGTTTTCTAAGTTTTAAACGTTATTGTTTATTCTCCTCACTTGCCTAAGGGAAGACTTGAAACACATCAGTTTGGTAAATGTTATGATCCTGTATGTATCATACATAACCCATAAATGAAACATCAAAGTGATGATTTAAAAATGTGAAATTGAGTGAAATCTCTTTCAACAAAAAAAACAATTAAATGAAATAGGTATGAGATATAGATCTCATAATTGTATGGAAATACAAGAAAACTGATCAATTCATTCAATTTCAGAGAGATATTCTATAAAACATTCATTATTTAGTGTAGTTTCTTTCCGGTTTTACCTGTTAAAAGAAAGACTACTCAGTGCATCTCGGGTAATTAAATTCATGTTAAACTCAACTGAAAGGACTTTAAAGTCATTTATGAACATATGACTGACATAATTAGCTCAGCTCTCATTTGTCATTTTTTCTTAATTTACAGAGACTTGTTGTTTTTGTTAATGATAATAGCATGGATATTCCTAAATAGTATTTGAATTTTCAAAGATCAGAAATGACCTGCTGTAAAATACTCTAGTTATTGTATTTCATTCACAATAAATTTCTGTTGACCATACAACTAATTTATCAAGACATATTGTCCATTAATAATCATATGGTTTAACAAAATAATTAATTTGATCTGGAATTAAATTAAACTTTATTTCAATCTATCAATTGCCTTTGTCCTATAATTGGTACTTAAATATGATTATATGGACAATGGTCTTAATATGTTCCTAGTGTTTAATTCTATGAATTAACAATAAAGCTTTATTGGTTTATTGCTATTAATGACAACAGAGCATCTGTGTTGTTGGTCACTATTAACAACAGTTCCATCTATTTTCAAACAAAAGCTTTTTTGGCGCCATTAGTGAATTTAGACTCATTTGTGTACTTTTCTTAGATATAAGAATGTACGTATATTCACTCGCTTGGTGTAAATGTTGCTCAGTTTGATAGTAAATATTCAAGACTAATCTACTATTCATAACATTCGAGATATTAACAGTAATATTCCTTTTATATATCAAAGCAAACACTAAATTAGGACATAATCATTGGTGTGATTGGGCAGTTTCAGTTATTTTGGAGTTTGAATGCATCAATGTATAATATTCCCAGGGGCTAAGAATTCTTGAACATCATGTATATAATTTCCTCAGTGTTCTTCCCAGAATTTTGCCTCAAGTGGGAACAAAATTCTCATTTTCACAATTCAGACCAAAATCGTCAAAATATGCCCATTTTTCATGATTTTTCTCATTTTCAAGTGGGTGCAAATGGATTTTCAGGTGGGTGCAAGACTGATTTTTGAAATTTCAGTTGGCTGCTGTGTCCATTTGCTTTAATGCTGGAGAGATCACTGATCTTATGTTATACTTACTTGTTACAACAATACTATGACTAGATCCGCAGGAGACCAATCGGATTCTTGACCCATATTTGCTGCTGAACTGCTCCACAATACCATCATGGCCACCAACATCTTTCTCATTTTTGTGACAATGTTGATAAAATTCCCCACTTCCCCAGCATAAGAACTTCCCCCTTTCCAAGTCCTCATTGTCAATTCCAGCATCTTGTACCATCTCAATGACACTTTCTCCAATCTGTGCATCATTCGCATCTGCAGTTTTTGCACCTTCTGTTGAGTTTGATGTTTCAATTCTAAGTTCATCATTAACACTGTTCATATGTTCATTAATATCTGCCTGAATTTGTTCTGTGAGATTAATATCCTTGGCACTGTGAGATTCATCCTTATTTATTGCTTCATCAAAACCATCCACATGTTCTTTTTCAGTTTTTAAATGTGTGACATCTTCAGGAAGGTCATTTCCATCAAAAATATATTCATCATTATAAACAACATTAGTTTCACTTAGAGGAGGAAGATCTTCAGAAAGTTCATTTGGGTTTTCACCAGGAGTGTCATTGGTTTTGGTATTTAAGACATCATTATCATTCGCATCAGGGACAACATCAGGAGGGACTGTTTCTAATCTATCAGGAGATTCATTTTCCACTTTATCAAGTGTTAAATTTTCAAGATCATTGGCACTTTCATGATCTGCAGCACTGATATGATTTTGAGGTGACTTAGGTTTTGGAATGATAGAATGATACGAAGATGCATTCTTTGTATGTTTGGTGTCTTTTTGTGACCTGACATCTATCTTTTGATTAGCTGAATTATATTCACTTTCCTCGATGAGGGATATAGTAGGAGGGTATCTTGGGAGGTGGTTCTTGCCAGTTATGAGCATGAAACCTTGGTTAAAGTCTGCTTGCTCAGCTACAGATGGTCCACCATTTTCAAGATGGCTGCCATCTCCGTCTGCTATTTCCTCAGTTGGGTCATCCATATTTGTTGCTATACATCATGTATGGTAAGGTTTGAATGTGATACTTCAACTGGAAAACAACAAATTATATTTTAACCCATTTAACAAATATATGTTTGAATAACATGTATTGAAATATATGTATAAATATATGGGTTGTTATGACAGTAAAGCTGTTAAAGACATGTGCTAAAAAATTAGTCAAAACTAAATATTCAGATAAAATACACTCTAGGTGGAAATTATGTTTTTTGCATAAATTATGCGACCATGTTTATAGTTCGGGTTATTGAACTGTGAATATTCTCCAGATAATCAATGGTGAAGGTGTTAAACTAGTCTGCAGGTAAACTTTATTGATAGAAGCTTCTAATAGCATCTTGTTGAGAGACAAGGTGGATCAATAAGAACCATCAGTACACCATACAAGATCGAGTGAATGTTTGGTTTAGCCTGTGGTGAAACTATAATTAAAAAACATTAAAGTCATGTCTTAACCTGGGGAGACTCTGTCAGGATCATTTTCTATTCAAAAATATATTGATAAAGTATGAAGTATATTTTTACTAAAATGTATGAAATGTTTTTATTGAAATGTAAAGGAATCCAACTGTTCATGATGATCTTCACTGAAAATCAACATCTTTATATTACGTCATTATATGTATTATTCGTAAATGTGTAAAATTCATATGTTTTAAAGCTTCTCTTACTTCTTTTATTCTTTTCTGAACTTATCATAAAATCCAAAAAGAATTAAACATTAATTGTTTTGTTAAAATATACACAGTTCCTCAAAGTAAGATTAATTAACGACTGACCTCTGAACTGTTAGAGCAACCTGTTTAATTTGTACACTGTCAAATGCTAAAATTGACGATAAGAGAGTTGAAAGCCCATGATCTAGGATATAACCAAATATTCAGAGCAAAAACATTTCTAGTTATGAAGAAGTTCCACTTTGACTCATTCAATCTAAGGACATTTACCTGTGAATATTGTGTGTAAACATGTGTTAACTTCATAAGAATTAGTCAAATCACTCACTTACCACTTGGCTGTGAATAGCAATGCAAATATACCTGACTTAATCAAACATTAGAAATACTCTAAGAAATCAATCCCAAATATATTTACTAATCATGATCTTTCTTTTGATAGCCTGCCATATCTACAAGGTAATCTAAATAAGGCACGCTCGGGAGTTTCTCCGATACAATTCGAACAACTAACTCAGATTGTATTTCGACTTGTCAAAATTTCGAACCATTTAATAAGACATTTGGCTCAACATGCATGTTCTAAAAGATGCTATATAAATATTTATAGTTAATATAAACCCTCACATAATCAGAATTTCAAACATCACAATTACAGGTATATGCAATATAATATATAATATTACACAAGTAATCAATACATTTACTCAGATTGAAACATTCAAGAAAAAAGGAAAACTAATATATAAATTTAGGTGTAATTAATCTTTCATGATTTTGTCAGCTAATAACACAGATTTTGTCAATAAAATTCATTTGAATAACAACCAAATATTCTCGATTGCTTGAATAGTTCTATTCCTACTTCACTACAGTATTTCTGAGCTTTTATAGAACTCCATATTTACAGGTCTGGATCATTTATAGACAGACGTTAAAAGCTACTCCAAATTCATAATGAAAATACAAGGTAAAATAACATTCAAAAACATACTATTTTAGGAAGTATTGTGTTCGATTTTATCCTTAAACTCTCCGGTTATATCTGTGAATAGAAGTTATGTCTAAATACTACTTAAGATAAACAGATTACTTAATTGTAAGCCTTGCACATTGATAATCTAAACCAACTTAGTTACCAGTAAAATATATTTTAGCTCTAGGAGGTATTCAATGGCTCACTAAATGGTGTTACTGTTACTGTTGATTCAGAAATTGTAAAACGTAAACAACATACTTAAAATACATATTCTACCATGTTACATATTCAATGAGGTCACGTGAGAAAGCATTGCGCACGCAACAGACGTTTGAAATATCAGTGTGTTGCAGACACGCGAATAGAACAGACGTATCGCCTTTGGTGCGATATATACGGTTAGTGAATTAAAAGTTTTTCATTAAACCTTCACTTATTATTGATCAGTATTCTGTTGGGAAGCAAAAGAGTATAATTACAATTTTGTTATCTATGATGCTGATTATTTTCATCATTTTGACACGGTCAATTTGATATTTCAATTTCTTTGTTCCGTTTCCTTTGTTTAAAAAGGCGGGAGAAACAGTCAATAAATATTGACTCACCCTTTAATGCCTTTATGCATACGTTTTTCTACCACACTGCGTGGAATTAAAACGTCCTTTGACCATTCAACTGTTCAAAAACAGTTATTTATACGTGCTGTCGCATGATTGTACAATTCTGAGTACAAAAACATACCACGTGCAATATCATTGACACGTTCAACTGCTCAATAGCAGTTCTGCTCAATAGCAATCAGTTCATGCGTTCAGAGTTAGTGCATGTATAAATCGTATGCAATCGAACATGTCACAAGCATTAAAGTCTAAACCTTCCTTTCAAGAAGATTTGGACAGTGGAACAAAGACAAAATCTTCAAAGAAGTCCAGCTCTGTAAAAGCTAAAAGTTCCGACAAGTCGGTCATTATGAAGTCGCCAAGCTTGACATCAGAAGCCACTGCCTCTTCAATGGGAAGTGAGCCTTGTAAATCCACGAACAATGAATCTGGTATCCCCGTGAGCTTTGTACAGGATATTACAAATGCTATTAGCACGGGATTGGGATGTATCAAAGATACTATGGTCGAAGCTTTAGGTGATATAAAGCAATCTTTGAAAACCGACTACCAAGCTGGTCAATATGATGATTATGGTGATATTCCTGATCAAGAGGATGAGGATCCTGACGTCCTTGAACCACCTGCTAAAAAGCAGAAAACTTCCTCGTCCGAATCGACTGAAGTTTTTTCTTCCCTTATGAATAAACTTCGATCTAAGACCAAGTTACAAGACGATAATGGACCTCCTTTATCTGAAGCTATGGCTGAAATCGTCACAGAACTAATCCAGGCGAAGCCAGAGGATGATGATATCGTATCTAAATTAGATGGTCACAAGACGCCTGAAAACGTTCCATTATTGTGCACTACAAAGGTCAATGAACCTATTTGGACTCGGGTCTCAGCCGAAGTTCGCTCTAATGATATTAAATATCAAAAAGTGCAAACTCCCCTTGTGAAGGGTATAATTGCTTCTTCACGTGCATTGGAAGCACTGGATAATCTCAAAGAGACTCTTAGCAAAGAATCCGATGCTTATGATGATGTGCTTACGACCATCGCGGAGTTAGTGTACGAAAATATGCTATTCAGCAGTTATGCAAACTTGAAACTTAACATGCGTAGACGTGAACTTTTCAAAAATGAAATTAATCAAAGTTTCAAGCATTTGTGCGCCAAATCTGTGCCAATTACCCAGTTTCTCTTTGGAGACGACATCTCTAAACAGGTAAAAGAGATAGCAGAAATGAATAAAACGCAACTGCGAGGCGTTTTTTCCGTCTTCCACTCGGGGTAATCGAGGAAGGGGACGTGGTTACGGTGGACGTGGTCGTGGAAACAATTCCAACAACCATTTTTTAGGCCAGGGCTACGGCAGAAACAACCACCAGCGGAACTCTACCCGATATCCCAACAAGAGAGGGAGAGGGGCCAAGAGCAAGTCCAGCAATGCCAGCGAGAAAACCACCAATCAATAGGTCATGTTGACACTATTACAATAGACACTGCACCTGAAAAGGTAAGACAAACACTTAAAAGCTCTGTCAATTATTTTCAAGGTGGTCGACTTAAAATGTTCTTGCATGAATGGGAACGTATAACATCAGATCAGTCTATATTAGATGCTATCAGTGGTTACACGATTGAATTTTGTGATGATGATATTCAACGAATGCAATGGCCATGTAACACAAATTACTCAAGGTCAGATCATGAAAGCATGGATCTAGAAATTGCCAAATTTGCAAAAAAGGGTATCATTGTACCAATTGATGATTCTAAAAAAGGTCACGTGTCACCTATTTTCCTGCTACCCAAAAAAGACGGGTCAAAAAGAATGATTTTAAACTTATCTGATATAAATCAGAGTGTAGAATATCATCATTTCAAGATGGAAAATCTTCAACATGCCCTCAACATCGTGTCACCTAATATGTACATGAGTTGTGTCGACATTAAAGACGCTTACTATAGTGTGCCAATTGCTACTGCTTCTCAAAGATTTCTGCAATTTGAATGGAAGGGCCAACTATATCAATACACTTGTCTAGCTCAAGGGTTATCTTCGGCCCCCAGACTATACACTAAAATTATGAAACCTGTTTTTGCTAAATTGCGAAATGAAGGCCATCTATCGGTAGCATATATTGACGATTGCTGTCTATTTGCAGAAACCTCTGAGCAGTGTAAGCAGAACACCTATGACACAATCAATTTGCTCAGAACACTTGGCTTCATAGTTCATCCAGAAAAGGTTATCTTGACACCAACACAGGTAATAACTTTTCTTGGTTTCGAACTTAACAGTATCAATATGACTGTAAAACTTCCCTGTGATAAAGCACAAGTTGTGAAATCTATGTGTAAATCATTATTGTCTCGTAGCAACTGCACAATCAGGGATGTAGCACAAATCATTGGTAAATTAGTATCATCTCTACCAGGTGTTCAATATGGCCAGCTTCATTATAGAAATCTTGAAAGAGATAAAACAAAGGCTTTATCTATCAATGAAGGCAACTTTGATGCATGCATGCAATTATCAAATGATGCAAAATCCGACCTACAATGGTGGATAAATAATGTAACGAAATCCGTTAAACCAATTTCTGTTACAGATCCAGGTATGTTGTTACGAACAGATAGCAGCACAAAAGGTTGGGGTGCAATATGTGTCACCAATTCTGTTAGAACAGGTGGACGTTGGTCAGCTGAAGAAGCTTCCAATCATATCAATTATCTTGAATTGATGGCCATATATCTTGCATTGAAATGTTTTTGTAGAGAAAAATCACACATCCACGTACGTGTTGAAACGGATAACACTACGGCTTTGGCTTACGTTAACAAAATGGGAGGTATCACATCGATTGCTTGTGATAACCTAGCAAAAGATATTTGGAAATTCTGCATTTTCAGAAATATCTGGCTTTCAGCAGCATTTATTCAAGGTTCTAAGAACACTGACGCTGATGAGGAATCTCGAGTATTCCATGATGAAACAGAGTGGATGCTCGACAAAGCAGTGTTCAATCAACTGATTAATCTGTCTGATTGGCCATCTCCCGTAATTGATATGTTCGCTTCAAGATTGAATCATCAGCTCCCACGTTATGTGTCGTGGAAACCTGATCCAGATGCTGAAAATATCGATGCATTGAATATAAAGTGGAATGATGAAACTTTGTATGTGTTTTGTCCTTTCAGTTTGATCACGAGAGTTCTAAAGAAGATCGAACACGATGCCATAACCAATGCTATCGTTATAGCACCAGTGTGGACAACACAGCCATGGTGGCCGAAACTTCTGAGACTCTTGATCGATATCCCAGTGATATTACCCAAAAGGAGAACGTTATTGTACCTACCGTACGACAAACAGAAACGCCATCCTCTTTGGAGAAAGATGACTTTGACTGCATGTCTTTTATCCGGCGATCCATCGAAATCCAGGGAATTTCGAAAGACACTACCGAAGTCATCTTATTGTCTTGGCGATCTGCATCCAAAAAGCAATATGCTGTCTACTTACGTAAGTGGGTACACTTCTGTCATAGACGGAAAATTGATCCATTTCAATCATCTGTGAACATAGGACTCGATTTTCTCACGTCTCTTTATAAGGACGATTTAAGCTACAGTGCTATTAATACGGCCAGGTCAGCGTTGTCATTCATTATATCACAAGACTCTGTTACTTTTGGAAATCACCCTTTGGTTTCTAGGTTTATGAAGGGTGTGTTCAACGACAGACCTCCGTTACCAAAATATGAATCAACATGGGATGTATCAGTAGTGTTAAACTTTCTCGAGACATTTTATCCCAATGAACGTTTATCATTAAAGGAGCTTACGCTTAAAGTAGTGACACTTCTGGCTTTAATTACAGGTCAACGTCGTCAAACGTTGCATACATTGACAGTCGAGAATTGCATCGAAGAACACTCAGGTTATAAACTTATTATTTCACAGTGTTTAAAAACATCAAAATGTGGAAAACCATTACCAATTCTCACTTTACCAAGATATAGCAATGTGAAATTATGTGTATGTGCGGCTTTGAAAGACTATATTAATCGCACGGACACTCTAAGAGGTAACCAAAGTCAGCTACTCATTAGTTTTCAGAAACCATACGCAGCTGTATCTCTTGACACCATCAGTAGGTGGATCAAGCTCACTATCAAAAATGCTGGAATTAATGTCGATATTTTTAAGTCTCATTCCACACGCTCTGCGTCTACTTCAGCAGCACTAAATGCAGGTGTTGGGCTAGATGTTATTCTTAAGGCAGCAGGTTGGTCTTCCAGTAGTACATTCGCAAAGTTTTACAATAAACCTGTGCAGAAAGATTCTGACAATTTTGGATTAGGTGTTCTTAAAACAACTGAATCAAAGTAGTTCATTTGGTTATTTTGAGAGAATAAAGCCAGAGAAGATTGGTATGATGTATTATTATGATTTATTTGATATGTTATAAAATGTATTTAACTTTGTACTAGTTACTTCTTGTTTAAGTAATAAACAAAGATTATTTGTAATCACTTATTTCACTAATCAATTTGATTACACCAAAAAAGGACGAGATCCACGTCCTTACATCTTTTCATGACGGACCTAAATATTCATTCAAGTCCGTGTTTTGATCACACAATGTGTCCATCTGTTGGCTTTAAACATCTCACGTGACCTCATTGAATATGTAACATGGTAGAATTTTAAGTTAAACGATCATTTTGTAAAAATGTGAAGTTTGACTGTAATTCTACCTGTTACATTGATTCAATGAGGTCAAGTGCCCTTCCCATGTGATTTCATGGCCCACCCTTTCCAGTGTGTTTGCTTGCAAAATGCATATTTATCATCATCTGGAATAGAATATAAATAAATTTTGTATTCATCTGGACACATTAGTGGTTAAAGACTGATATTTCAAACGTCTGTTGCGTGCGCAATGCTTTCTCACTTGACCTCATTGAATCAATGTAACAGGTAGAATTACAGTCAAACTTCACATTTTTACAAAATGATCGTTTAACTTAAAATTATACGTTGACAGCAGCACGTACATGTAGATTGAAGAGAGGCTCTTTGAAACCCAAATCTCCATTGAATATCATTTAATTCAATTTCAAATCATTTATTTATTAAACTGTCACCTGTTATTCAGGTACAATATACTACAGTAACAATAACATATTTGTTACTACTTCCCAGCCTCATAAGAAACATGAGAGATCATTATTAAAAGTAAACAATTTTTAATGTTTTACAAACAGCAACCATGAAACTGAACACACAAATTAGAAATTAATTAAGCGATATGAAACTAACAGGTCTTTACCTAATACAGAATCTAACAAAATGTATGACGCATATTTTAATAGTAAAGAATTGTATGTTACCTTCTTCAAAGGCCACTATATCGTGGCCTTCGTCCAAAGATAAATCCCTGCTTGTTTTTTACTGCTGTATACCATGGGATTATGGCTCATGTCATAATCATAAAATTTGAAATCAAATGTTCACCATTTTTCCACATCACAATTTGAATTGTGGGTTTGGTCGTATTACCTCACCAAAAATTCCAAAACACACATGAAGTGATCGATGTATTAGTTCACATCTTCTGGATCGCTAACTTAGAATTTACAGCCAGTTACTAATGTCAGACAATGACGACATTTCGTCCCGTTTTCGAATATCACCATTTTTATTTTAATTTTAGAAAAAAAACTGACAAAATCATGCAATATCTCATCAAGGAGCCCAGCCAGTTCCATTTTAATTCATGATTTATTTATCTGGCGATTTTTAAAATTTAATAAATTTATAACACGCCGGCCAGCTTTTTTCAAATGGTTCAGTGTTCCAGGTGAAATTACTTCTATCTAAGAATTGGCAAGACTCAAGTAAATTGTATGCACAGGGCCCTGATGCATATAGGTCTGAAACTGTACTTTGTATAAAATGAACGCTGAGGTAAGCATCTACAAATACATGTATCCTGCCATAACGCTACATGTAATCTTCATGGCCAAGCTTTTCTATTGTTTTTTTTATTTTTTGTCCTTCTACCAAACAACTTTACTGTAGAAGGTCAATTTTATTACAATAGGAATGTTTTTAATATATTAAAATTATCAATTAAGATCCTTATAAATGAATGGATCCACTAAATTGGCTAATAACAATTCAGAGAGTCCAAGAGCTCACACATGGTACATACTTTATATACCGCATCAGTGTTCTCAACAGGACTTTTTTCAAGTGGGTGCAAAATTCTCATTTTCACAATTCAGACAAAAATTGGTGAAAATATGCCAATTTTTCCAGCATTGATATGCCCATGACCAAATCAAGTGAACCCAACAAAATTATTTTCAGGAAGTCAGCCGTCAGAATTCACCTGTAACTTATGGATGACTCTAATATCAGATGTTCATTTGACAACCAGATCGGGAATTTAGATTGTCTAAAGTTACCTTCTTCTAAGGCCACTGTGGCCTTCCAGTAAAGATATATTCCTGCATAAACAACTGGTCATGTCGTAATTACAAAATTTGAGATCATATATATTTGATATCATTTTTCCACATCACAATTTGAATTGCGAGGTTTGGTCTTATTACCTCACCAAAAATTCCAAAACACACATAAAGTGATCAGTGTATTAGTTCAAATCTTCTGAATCGCTAACTTAGAATTTACAGCCAGTTACTAATGTCAGACGTTAACCACATTTCGTCCAGTTTTCGAACATCGCCATTTTTTCTTGGAGCCATTTTGTTTTAATTTTAGACGAAATCCTGATGAAATCATGTCATATCTCATAGGCGTAGCGCCCGGTACGCACAGGCGTACCAGATGGTTGCAAATTCGCTCCAAATACAACCAAATTTCAAAATTTTCCTGGGGGATAACCCTCAGAGACAGCCCTAAACACTGTTTTTTGCTTCGCTCAACTCTTGTTCCCACGGTGGCGTACTACTTAGAAATATAGCGCTACGCCCATGTATCTCATCAAGGAGCCGAGCTGGGTTCGTTTTGATTAATGATTTATTTATCTAGCAATTTTTAAAATATTCAATAAATTTATGACACGGCGGCCAGATTTTTTCAAATAGAGTTCACAGTATTCCAGATGAGTCCCCTCTAGCTAGACTGTATCCTTCGTCTGTTGGATACATACTACCCCTCTAGCCAAGTATTGGCTAGAGACTCGAGTAAGTCTAAAGACATGATTTGATACATTATCTGAATCTACTGGATAAGGCTAGTCTTATGTATGCATACACGTTTTCATACATTAATATACAGGACATTATACAGAATTAATTTTTACACAAAATAAGAGTCATAATTACCATGACAACCAGTCACACCAGAGGGCACCTGTTCAGGTGAGTTTCCTGTGTAAATTAACATTTTCAAATTTAACATTTCAGATGTGGTTTTACCCCCTTTTTCAGTATCCAAACCTTGTCAAAACTTAGCATATAGTGCTACATTCTATTTTCTTTACAACACCTTATAGAAAGTATACTTAGGACTAACTTAACTTGAGATATCTAGTTGAATTTAAGGAGCACATTACCTCTTCCGCGCTGTTTTTCGAAGTGCCTACTGGGTATGTCACGTGATTTATTGGACAAAATGGCGGATGAACAGGATTTGGAAATCTGAGATATTATTGTCACATATTTGGTGTTTATCCTTGATTTAATTTAAACCAGGCGAACAAAATGCCGATATGTTAAAGGTTGCTATACCACGCTTTAGGAGAGTGGAAGAAGACGGGGATAAAGGCTCGTACACTGTGAGTTTGAAGCATTTTTCTTTTAATTTTTAGTTTGCTTTTTAATTTTGTCAATGAGACACGCCCACTTTCTGTTTGTGTTGAGTGAAACTAAGAGCTGGGAAACTTCTAGGGTTCAGAGAAGACATATGTCTTATTAAATTTGTATTGTAATTCGGAAAATAAATGACAAATAAAGGCTAATGAGGAGGAGGATAAATTGAACAAAAAATCAACATTGAACATAACAAAGGATACAGATAATAAGATAAGATAAGCACCGGCTTGTAGGCTGGTGTAGCCTTTTGCCTGTATAGGTGTGTGTATTTGTTATACACATCAAGTCATATTTGGCATATGTACCCTTAAGGCTTGTGCTCCCAGTCTAATTTCAGTGGGTGGTTGTACCAATGGTCATCCAACTTGTTCTTGAACTGGTCAACACTTCTTGCTTGAATAACATATTCAGGCAGTTTGTTCCAGGGTGATATGACTCTGTTGGAAAAGAAATGCTGTCTTGTGTTTAGTCTACAGTGTTGTCGTTTCAGGTACATTGTGTGTCCTCTTGTTGGCTGCCTTGTTATATGGTTCAATTGAGGGAAGATAGTCTTGGGGCTGATGTCATAGAAATTGTTCAGGATCTTGTACAGCTCAATCATATCTCCTCGTAACCTCCTAAATGCCAGTGTTGTCATGTCAAGTGTTGCTAGTCTTTCGGGGTATGTTAATTGCCTGAGGTTTGGTAATAGTCTAGTTGCTCTCCTCTGTATGTTTTCAATGGCTTCAATGTCTTTCTTATACTGTGGGCTCCAAACTGAGTTTCCATACTCCAATATTGGACGGACAAGGCCATTAAAGAGTAGCTTAAGAGAATCCTCATCAATATACTTGTAGCTTCGCTTTATTACTCCCAAGACTTTATTTGCTTTATTTGCAGTTATTGTCACATGCTCGGAGAATTTCAAATTTGAGTCAATGTTGACACCTAAATCTCTTTCCACACAGCTGTTTTTTAGTATTACATTTTTCCCACTTTGTGTATCAGTCATATTATAGGTAGGTTCTGGTTTCATATTTCCCACTCTCAAAACAGTACATTTATTCGGGTTGAATTGTAGTTTCCATTTGGAGGCCCATGCTTGTATTGTATTGAGGTCATTTTGGAGTTCATCCGTGTCATTCTTGTTCCTAACTTCTCTGTACAGTTTAGTGTCGTCAGCGAAAAGAGCAATCTTGCTGTTTGACACGACATTAGGCATATCGTTCACATAGATAATAAACAGAATCGGCCCAAGGACAGTTCCTTGAGGAATTCCAGAGGTTACAGTGGTCCATGATGACTCTTTTCCATTTAGTGAGACTCTCTGAGATCTGTCAGTGAGGAAATTTTCAATCCATTTGTGAGCAACTCCCTTAATACCAAGTTGTCCAAGTTTAGTGAGCAGCCTTGCGTGACTCACGGAATCGAAGGCTTTCGCAAAATCTAAATATATGCAGTCTGTGGTGCCACCTGCATCGAGAACACGGGTCCAAGCTTCTAGGACTTGCAATAAATTAGTGATACAGGATCTTTGGGGTAGAAATCCATGCTGTGTTGAAGATATGATTTTGTTTGCCTTGAGGTGATTAAGGAGGTTTACTCTAACTATTCCTTCAAGCATCTTGCATACAATACTGGTTAGACTAATGGGGCGATAGTTTGTTGGTTCATTTTTTGCTCCTTTTTTGTAGATTGGGGTGATATTTGCCTGTTTCCAGTCTCTGGGTATATTTCCTTCCTTAAGTGATTTAGAAAAGATGATATAAAGAGGGCGCTTAACAACGTCATGTAGTTCTTTGAGTATACGGCCCTTTATACCATCTGGGCCAGGTGAAGAAGTAAGTTTGAGGTTGTTAAGTCTTAGGTCAACATCTGCTTCAGAAATTTCCCAATTCTGGATATATGATCCTATATACATAAAGTCTAGCACGGGGCTATCAGTCATTTCATCTGTGGAAAAAAAAAATAATACCATAGGTTCTGGGCCGGTATAAAGATGGCAGCACCAACAGAATACAGTATTATCTTTTTGTAAATAAACACAGATCAATTACCATACCATCTTTATTTGAATTATTTCTATCGACCTTTGCCTATGGATAATACATGTACCTTTTTGACATCTATAAATATCTGGATTCGTCATTTTCTCACAGACATAGAGATCATTACCAGAATTTCCTCCATTTAGGTCCCAGTCAACGGAGTCTATCAGCTGCAGCTTTGAAATCATTGCATCTGGATTAAAACATCCAGCAAATGTGCTATCATCCTTCAAGCTGTTAACTTGATGCTCCCTTGTACGGGGAAGATCAAAATATTTTTGTGAAACTTCAGAAAACTTTTTAAGCTTTATAAATTTGTTTGATTTATTGTTGTTCTAGGTATACTGTGTAGATGTTTATGTCAATGGCAGACAGCACTCTGTGGAGAAGCGTTATAGCGAATTTGAAGACCTACATAAACATGTAAGTTCTATTATTTTTGTAATTACAGTATTTGGAAAGGTTTCATGAAAAATATTTAATCAAGTAAGGAGAGTTACTAGATTTTTTCATCAAAAGCGTTCAAATTAAAATTTACATTATTCTGCCCAAAATTGGTTTATCTTCAAACTCTTGGTGCAGCCTGAGCACCTACATGTTACAATGCTGTAAAGATTTGACTGGAGATGAAAGGAAAGTGATGTCTCTCAGCAAGTGTCAAACTCAGAAACAGCATTCACACCCTATGCAGACAGAGCCTGTGGGAAATATTGGGTGCGGAGCAAATGAGCGGAGGGTGCGGAGCTAACGGTCATTTTTGAATTTAAATTTGGGATATTTCTGAAACTAAGCCGTTTTGGGACTTCAAATATACCAAGATATGTGTATTTGACACCAAATATCAATACAATTGTAAAAATAGTAGCGCAATTTATTCTATAGCGACGCAGTGTGCCTTTAACCTTTCCCAGACCTATATATTTTGAAATTATCCTTTTAATACTGAGTCCCCAGCATTCATAAAAAATGGTGTTCAAGGTACACTATCTATACAAATTATTTTTGCATCTTGGAAGCCAGGCAGTATCTGTGTGATTTTATAAAAATTCGGAAATGTTCTTCAGATATGAGCCCCCTCTAAATATTGGGTGCGGAGCAGCTCCATAAACGTAGCTCCGCACCCAATATTTAGAGGGGGCTCATATCTGAAGAACATTTCCGAATTTTTATAAAATCACACAGATACTGCCTGGCTTCCAAGATGCCAAAATAATTTGCATGGGTAGTGTATCTTGAACACCATTTTTTATGAATGCTGGGGACGCAGTATTAAAAGGGTAGACTCAAAATATATAGGTCTGGGAAATGTTTAAGGCATACTGCGTCGCTATTAAATGAATTGCACTACTATTTTCACAATTTTATTGGTATTTGGTGTCAAATACACATATCTTGGTATATTTGAAGTCCCAAAACGGCTTAGTTTCAGAAATATCCCAAATTTAGATTCAAAAATGACCGTTAGCTCCGCACCCTCCGCTCATTTGCTCCGCACCCAATATTTCCCACAGGCTCTGTCTGCATAGGGTGATTCAGGTTCAGAGGAAATGCAAACTGTTTCTGAGATGCCTGCTGATGGTGCAAAGAATGACCCCTTTTTGACTCCTATGTTACCAACCATCTATCAACATATCCCTTTCATACTGCAGCATTGCATCACAGATGTTAAAACAAAAAATGATCTTTCAGTGTTTTTGCTGTTAAAATGCAAATAATCACAAATCTGTAGTGTTTTTTCTGTACTTTATTTGCAGCTTAAGAGGACTATAAGGCCACCTGTGTTTCCACCCAAGAAGTTCCAGAATTGGAATCCAAAGGTACTTGAGAAGAGAAAGCAGGGCTTAGAGGAATACCTACAGGTACATGTATGGATGGTAGACAGGGGTATAGCTCATTAGACTTCATGTCCTCAGTTTTAGTTATAAAAATGTCAGAGATACCGTGCTAGTAGTATTTTTGTAAAAATTTGGCGAGATACTTTGCTAAAGCCATGGTATCACTCATGGTAATATTATATACATGTAGTATAATATCACATGTTGCAGCTTATATTCATAGTAAATGCAGTGTTTCAAATTATGTAGATAAATATGTATTGTGAGATATTCTTGTCAGCAATACTAGTATTTGACTACATTTTGATCAGACTAAAAATAAATCCAGTGTGTGAACTTTTGCGAGGCAGAAGATGCATATATTCCGCAATGTTGTGTTTTCTATTACTGTATCTTTAATAATTGATTTTTGTGTTAGGCTTAAATATTTAATTTTGTCACCACCAAAACCTTTTTGTGGTCGTGTTGGCTGTTGGTGTTTGGCATCTGTAACAAATGGCATGTGGTGACATTTTGCATGTTAATGCCTTGTTATGGTTTGAGTTAAATTATTTATATATTTTCAGGGTATTGTCCAACAAGGCATGATTCCTAAATCTCTATGTCATTTCCTGGATCTGAATGCCACATTGGGAATGGGAAGTGAAGAGTAAGTATAACAAACTATTTTATTTACATTCATCAAATGCCAAATCCAAGGGCAGTTTCAATTTTAATTGGTTTCATCTTTTGCATCATTTTTAAAACTGTAAAATTATCTAAATAAGTCAGAGAGAAGTGTGGCACACTGATGGAAATTCAGTTATTTGTCATAGATGGTTGAAATCTCATCACTTTTATTTTTATTATATAACTCCTATGCATTGTCTATCATTCTGCATGCTACATACATGTACATGTCAATGCTTTGAACTTTTTAGCATCTATGTATAAAAACTTTGAAATTGTTTAAAGAGTTACTGATCTCAATCACAGAAACTTGAATCACTATGATATGCTAAGATGCAGAGTCTGTATAGCCTATATTAGACTCGGATATTGAGTCCATATAAGCCAGCATATCAAAACTATACCGTATAAGGTGCTCCGAGTTCCTGTGATCTCTATCTCAATTAATGTAATACAAGTGCCAAAATGTTCTGTTTTCTGTACTTTTCAATAATAATTGTAGAATTAGGTCACCCTCATCTAAGAAACTGCAAAGGTATACCACTACACCTGTTCGTTTGTAAAGTATTAGGATTTAGGAGTCAATGAGTGAATGTTCAGTTGTTCAGTTTTCCCATGTTTTGGACCAATGTACATGTTATTGTTTTCTCATCCTATGAAGAAGGAGTATGTAACGGAAAATGTGCTGGAATTCAGTAAAATAAAAAAGCTTAATATTCAAGAAAAATGTTCTATGTTAAATATTGGATTCTCACTTGATGGGACAAAAGAGAACCCAGTGTTTTGCTGGGTGGGTGAGGGTAAAATTGTATATGTCCTAAACCTTGGGGAGAATAGCTTTCTCAACATTATATTTGTTTTCCCAATCTAGGCACTTCTTGTCACATGTTTCTACTACATAGGGTGAGGTTAGACAGTTCAGTGTTATGTTAGTAGTAGTTAACTGTTTACCATCCCAATTCACAGAACATCCATGTACTAAAGCTAGTACCGTTAGGAACTGGCTAGAACAGTGATGCCTGGCCAAAAATATAGTTAATCAAGTTTTGAGACATCATCATGTTTTGGCCTGATCTTTTACTCGTATCTTGCACATGGTTAACTTGTCTTGTTGTGAAGATTATTTTAGTTTTCCTAGACTACAGGTTGTCCTTGAGGTATAGAGCAGATTTCGGAAAATTTACTTCCTATTTAAATGTAATTAACTTGGTTTACCAAGAAACCTGTCACAAAATAGCTCATGACTTCTTGGATAACCTTTGCTGTTGTTCTTACGTTACTTCCATATTAATTGATTTATTTACTCAAATTATTACTACTTCGCGAAATAATTTATATTGTTGTTTTACTTTATATTCTGGAGCTGGTTAAATAACAAGTATTTAGTAATAATGTCTGAATAATATGTTTGAATCCTCCTTTTCTCTCATTAATGGCCAAGTTCGAATAAGATCAAGGCCATTGTCCACAAGGTTCTGTTATAGAAACATAACTGTTTATATTGTCAAAATGTCATTGAAATGTGTCATGGGGAGATTAATCTGATCGCAAACATCTACTTTCAATATTTCTTTCTTTTCTGAACTTTTCTCCAGCTTACCTCTTTCATATGCCTAGGGAAAGGTAGTAGTAAACTTTGTATGAAAACAATTTTCTAAAGGAAGCTTACTTACTACTTCTCCATGGCTTACAACCTCTATATTACTTGTTTAAATGAAATATCAAAATTGTGATTATATCCAAGGTTAGTTTTTATTCCAAATGTAGGCTATGATATTTTTTCCATTTTTTAAATTAGAAGGATATTAATTTTAAAATTGCAATTTTAGATCTCTTGACCAGCTTGATTACAAGGAGCCTTCACACCAACCCCTTCTGGCATTTACTGAAGACCCCTTTATACATGCAAAAACTGATGGAATCCTACCTGATATTGTGGTAGATGGTGTCAACATGGGACTTTATGGATCAGTAGAAGATATGAGATGACATGGGGCTCAATGTATTAGTAAAGGATATGAAGTGACATGAGACTTTTTGGGTGAATAGAAGACATGAGGTGACATATGAGTTGTGTATCTGAAAAGGAAGGCCTTGATTATCTATATCACTCTATAACTGTGATCAGTGGAGAATATGAGGTGACATTGGTGTTAATGGATTAGTAAAGGATATGAAGTGACATGAGACTTAATGGATGCATAGAAGACATGAGGTGACATAGGAGTTGCGTATTTGAAAAGGAAGGCCTTGATTATCTATATCACTCTATAACTGTGATCAGTGGAGAATATGAGGTGACATTGGTGTTTATGGATCAGTAAAGGATATGAAGTGACATGAGACTATAGATCAATAGTGACATTGGAGTTGCGTATTTGAAAAGGAAGCCCTTGATAATCTTATGTCACTCTATGACTCTGATCAGTAAAGGATATGAGGTGACATTTGGCTAAATGGGCCAGTAAAGGATATGAGGTGACATTTGGCTAAATGGGCCAGTAAAGGATATGAGGTGACATTTGGCTTAATGAGCCAGTAAAGGATATTCAAGTGACATAAGACTTCATAGAGGATATGAGTATATATCAGTTACCAACATGTTCAACCATAGAATTGAAGAAATAGACAAGATGAAGTAATATTCAACATACAGCCAAAGTGATATCATGTTTGATATCTACATGTAAAATTACATATAGAAATGTGGTTTCTTTGAAAATTCTAAGTCAGGTTGAAATATATTAGACCCAATGATATAGAATCATAAAAAGTGATATATCTTTTTTGTATAGGACATATCTGACCTGAATTAGCCACCTGGAGGTGAAACTGGTAACTAACTACTGGCATCTGATCTATTTGTATCTAGAAAGAGAAATGATACTCTGTATTGTCCTTCTATTTCTAGGGTCTATGACTTACATCTAGTATCCATCTAGTCCCACTCCTTCTATTTAAGTATTCTCAATATATATTTGAAATTGACACATTTCAAAATGTTGGAGAACAAAAATTGAATCTACATAAAAGTCATAAGTACAGGGTGGTCAAAAAATGGAAACCCTGCATTTTCCTCATATCTTCGTCATTTTGGGTAATTATTCCCTGAAATTTGACACACATGTACAACATTCAATTTCCTACAGACTAACCATATTTCATCACCATCAGATTGATAGTCACAATGGTACAGCACTTTGAACAAGATGCCCAAGTGTGGCCACCATCGCGCTATTGGCAAATCTGAACAGGTTGTCAATGGTCTGACTACATTTTTCAGCAGGTATGGCCTGAATGACATGGATGATCTGCTTTTTGAGGTCTGCAGTTGTCCTGGGGTTATTCTCGTATACTCTTTTTTGGTGTATCACCATAGGTTGACATTAGGTAGGGACATTTTGGATGATAGGTGCAGGTTTGCCGAAAGTGCAATATTGGCCAATGGAGCATGTTGTTTAAAGTGCTTTAACATTGTGACTATCAATTTGATGGTCATGAAATATGGTAGGCCGGTAGGAAATTGAATGATGTACAAATGTGCTAAATATCAGGGAGTAATTTTCTAAAATGACAAAGATATGAGGAAAATGGCGACAGGGTTTCCATTTTTTTTGACCACCCTGTATGAGCCACATCCATTGTGGTGTGGACAACTCATATGGTAATTTGTTTTATTCTCAAAACTCAAGCCTAACCTAGGATGGAGAAACGAAATGTTCTTTCTTCATTCAACAAAACCAATAGTTTCCACGTTGTTTATTACCGAACTATAATATTATCATATTGAGATTGTACAGGGTCAGCCAAAAAAGGTAACCCAATCAAATCTTAATGACTCAGTTATCCAGTTTGACACAACTGAACCTTGTCCAATTTTCTTTCAATCACCCAAGTTTCATTGCTCTATTCAATTCCAAATGGTTACGATTTTACGATGGTTACTTGTTTCAAGTCCCTGCTGCTTTTAGGGTTGTTAATGTAAATATTATCTTGGATATAGACAGCCCAAAGATAAAATTGTAGAGTGCATTGTTCCAAATCATATTTGGATTAAAATGTTAAAATGAATTTTTTCAAAATGAAATGTTTAACTTTTCTATTGAAAGTGTGAGCTGTAAATATTTTATGAATATTTGTAATAAAATTATCTCAACTACAGAGATATATCTTGTGATTATTTTTAGATGCAACTTCAAGTTAAACCATATTTGTGTTTGAACTTTGAGTAGGACTGATTATAAGACTGCTGTATTATTGAAACTTCTGGTGTTCCCTTTGCAAATCCTCGGGTATCCATCCATGTAAGATACAGTGGATCTCTGGAAGTGGAACACCTCCATTGTGAATCATTATTTGAGATTAAAGAGGTGTTTCACTGTATTTCACAGTATTGAAAATATGGTTAAGTGTAGCGAGTTTCATTTCAATATTGCCTAAAATGTGAAAAGTTCTATGATAATGTCAAAATATCAGGCCTCTTAGACTTCCACGAATGCGATCATCAGTTCTGACTTCACAGACTACGTTCCTTTTGCACTAACAACTCACATCATGAACGTGAAGTGAAATCTTAAGTCGCGTACCACCATTTCCTTGCTCCTGAACATATTTCTCTACTCACGCACAGAGATCCATGCTCGCGAACAATTTGTACAAAGTGCATCCAGGTATTTGGGATTTTTTAGTTATGCGTAATAGTGCGAATAACATTACAGACTTTTTTAAGATCAGGCATGCAGTTCGCGGGCATGGATCTCTGTGCATGAGTGGAGAAATATGTTAGGGAGGGAGGAAATGGCGATGTGTGACTAAGGATTTCACATTCGTGATGTGAGAATCGTGGATAGAGTGCAAGGAACGTAGTTCAAGAGGTCAGAACTGATGATCGCGTTTGTGGTGGTGGTGGTCTTGAAAAAATACCTTTTTTGACCTTGAAAAGGTCATTGAAGGTCAAATCTTAATTCTATAGTCAGATTTGAACTTCTTAAAACTTGTAGATGATTTTGAAAAAAAATTGGGAGTGAGATTTGAACTTCTGAAAACTTGTAGATGATTTTGAAAAAAATTGAAGTCAGTCGAAACAGTATTTGTCAAGTTATTGGAAGTTGTAAGAAATTGTTACAGACGCCGATCGCCGATCGCCAACCGCTGCCCACCATCCGCCGATCGCCATCACAAAAAATGGAGACCATAACAAAATGTCACCACTTTTTGGTGGTGACATAAAAATGTGTAATGCCAGTCATAAAATGGAAACTATGACAACACATGCATACAAGCACTTCGTAGTTACATAGCAACATTAACAAGGCATTAACATGACAAAATCAAAATGTCACCACCTAGTTGCTCACAATATTGTTGAGAACTTGAATTTGAACTTCTGCGAACTTGTAGATGATTTTGAAAACAAATTGGTCAATTTGAAAGCAAGTTTTTGACCTTAAAAGGCCATTGAAGGTCAAATGTTTTTTTGACCTTGAGAATATCATTGAAGGTCAAATCTATAGTCAGATTTGAACTTTCGAGGAATTCTAGGTGATTTTGAAAAGAAATTGGTCAAATTGAAGCAAGTTGCAAAAATACCTTTTTGACCTTGAGCAGGTCAAATCTCAAATCTAAAGTCAGATTTGAACTTCTGATAACTTGTAGATTTTGAAAAAAAAATTTGTCAATTTGAAGCAAGTTGTAGAAAGACCTTTTTGACCTTGAAAAGGTAACTGAAGGTCAAATCTTGAACATTAAATCATATTTGAACTTCTGAAAACTTGTAGATGATTTTGAAAAAAACTAAAGTCAGTCTAAACAGTATTTGTTAAGTTATTGAAGTTTTAAGAATTTATTACAGACACCAACCGCCACCCGCTGATCACCAACCACCAACTACCGCAAAAAATGGAGACCATAACACTATGTCACCATAAATGTTCATGTATATAAGCGAATGCCTTTCTATGGAAAAACACAATACACCAAGATATAACATTTAAATACTTTATTTGGCAAAAACTGTGCCTACTAGCTGGTACATGTATACTCCCTTGTAATAAATGAGTATGTTTAAGAGTCAAGAATAGTAGGTTAAATTACACTTACAAGCTACTAAAGCCCCTTTACATGTACATGTACATATACGATGTATGTACTGTATATACTATTGTATATTGCAGCGCAAAAATCTATAAAATCATCTTGATTTGCTCAAGGAAGAAACTTGAATTGTGTCACTTCTGAAAGGAATTCTTTTCTGATAATGAAAATGTGCGAGAAGCAGACAATGACGTAATAGATACATTGCGACAGTATGTAACCAGAATTATAATAGTACACTTGAGGTACCTGAGACGAATCTTCTGTTATTAGGTTCTGTCATCAGTAAGCTTTAACGTACACTGTATACATAATTCAGAATGATGCATAAACCAGGTCTGATCTGTCACCATGGTAACCGTATCTTTCATAAGGTGCAACAAATAGATACAGGTACATATCTAAGAACAGACAGATTAATATGTATGTACATGTTACATATGAGTCTAGAGTCTTTACATTAACTGTGAACTGCACTTAGTGTTTATTTCCATGGTAAAGAGGCAACTGTTGCGGCAATGATGAATGAAAGAGCGAACACGGTCCATCCACTTTTGTAAAGAGTCTTCAGTCCAAATCCCCATACTGCATCCCAAGCCTGGAGAATAACGTCAAAAGGTTAGGCAAAAATAATATGAACATACATAAAAAATAATATTGTTTCAGGTTATATTAAATTTCTTCTAACTAAAACCCCATCAGAAATATTTTGAAACTAATTTCAATAATAATTTCATTAAATGTGTTTGAAATAATGAAGTAGAAAATCATATTATCATGTTTATCATCAAAAAGCATTCAATTCTACCTGTCAATGTTAAAACTTACCAAATGACGTGATCCATTCATCCCATGGTATATAAGTGGCCAACATAAGAACATCTTCATTCCATAGTACGCCGATGAAGGAAGCTGGAGGTCCTTCAGAACAGCCACATAATGTGGGAAGTCATGTGGTAGTGCTAATAGAGTACAACTCATCAGAGCAACAGCTGCAATAAGAAATCTGACTTGAAATACAATACATATCAAGTACACTTAATGTGGGAAGTCATGTGGTAGTGCTAATAGGGTACAGCTCATCAGAGCAATAGCTGCAATAAGAAGTCTGACTTGAAATACAATATATCAAGTACACTTAATGTGGGAAGTCATGTGGTGGTGCTAATAGGGTACAACTCATCAGAGCAATAGCTGCAATAAGAAGTCTGACTTGAAATACAATACATATCAAGTACACTTAATGTGGGAAGTCATGTGGTAGTGCTAATACGGTACAGCTCATCAGAGCAATAGCTGCAATAAGAAGTCTGACTTGAAATACAATACATATCAAGTACACTTAATGTGGGAAGTCATGTGGTAGTGCTAATAGGGTACAGCTCATCAGAGCAATAGCTGCAATAAGAAGTCTGACTTGAAATACAATATATCAAGTACACTTAATGTGGGAAGTCATGTGGTGGTGCTAATAGGGTACAGCTCATCAGAGCAATAGCTGCAATAAGAAGTCTGACTTGAAATACAATACATATCAAGTACACTTAATGTGGGAAGTCATGTGGTGGTGCTAATAGGGTACACCTCATCAGAGCAATAGCTGCAATAAGAAGTCTGACTTGAAATACAATACATATCAAGTACACTTAATGTGGGAAGTCATGTGGTAGTGCTAATAGGGTACAGCTCATCAGAGCAATAGCTGCAATAAGAAGTCTGACTTGAAATACAATATATCAAGTACACTTAATGTGGGAAGTCATGTGGTAGTGCTAATAGGGTACAACTCATCAGAGCAATAGCTGCAATAAGAAGTCTGACTTGAAATACAATACATATCAAGTTCACTTAATGTGGGAAGTCATGTGGTAGTGCTAATAGGGTACAGCTCATCAGAGCAATAGCTGCAATAAGAAGTCTGACTTGAAATACAATATATCAAGTACACTTAATGTGGGAAGTCATGTGGTAGTGCTAATAGGGTACAACTCATCAGAGCAATAGCTGCAATAAGAAGTCTGACTTGAAATACAATACATATCAAGTACACTTAATGTGGGAAGTCATGTGGTAGTGCTAATAGGGTAAAGCTCATCAGAGCAATAGCTGCAATAAGAAGTCTGACTTGAAATACAATATATCAAGTACACTTAATGTGGGAAGTCATGTGGTAGTGCTAATAGGGTACAACTCATCAGAGCAATAGCTGCAATAAGAAGTCTGACTTGAAATACAATATGAAAACAGTATATGTATGTATATTGGTGGCCCAAAAGTAGGTACAGTGGGCCAGTCTGTATATAGATACATTCAAATGCATACTTATAATTGCACTGGTATGAATTCAATTAACATTGTTCTTCCACATTAACTTGTGATATTTATGCACCATTCCCTAGCGCTAAATTGTTGTAATGCTCAATTAGACAATTACTGTAGATATACTTAATTTGGCCCCCATTTTAATTTGACGGATTGGCGGATTCAGAAAAGCCGCCAAATTAAAAATCTGTCAAATTTCAGTTTAGAATTTTTCTCCGATGCACTTCAGAAATTAAACTCCAGGGGACCTTTTCCTGTCAACATGTCATCAATTCTACATTATTCCAAAAGAAATATAGAAAATATCTTAGTAAATACCTGTCCTAGTGACGTAAACATCTACAAAAATTAAAAACTTAAGTTCTGAATCCGCCAAATTAAATAGCCACCAATATTTGAAATTGAGCAAATCAGTCAATGAAATTAAGTAGCATCAAAATAAGTGTATCTACAGTAACACTGAATAAGACCTTATATTATTGGCAAGCTATGAAATTATATAAAATATTACTTACACACAGACATTGCAATTCCACATATACGAAAGCAAATTGACAGCATGGATGTTAACTCAGGTCTGGAAAGTAGAGAATAAGACTATAGGTATTGATTCCAATAATAGCGAGTTTAAGCTTGCAATGTTTTTCACAACCTAAACGTGAACGGAAAATATCAAGGCCATGCATTTGTATGCTGGATAAGTCATATGTATAGGTTGGCGTTTCAATTTTATATGTAAGCCTAAACTCCCTTATACCTACATGGAGTTTGAGAGAAATCACATTATTGGAACAATAATATCGCAATATTTAATATCCAATAACATCAAAATGTGATAATCATCCTAATGATCTTCTGCCAGGGGTATCAACAAGTTTCATAACCAACTGGCTAGCTTGTGTTAGAATATACAAGGGACATCCAAAAAGTTCCCCTGAATTTACATTATTAATATACTAAGAGTTTGATAGGTTCATTTAAGCAGCCTTCAGTATTGTAGAATAAAAATGGTAAAGGTTTTCTTACTTCTTTTTCAAAATATTCATTTACAATAACTAACAATTCACAATAATTGGCACTTACTTGTATACTGTTAAATGTGGTGAAAGTGGTCTCTTTTTTATTTCTACATTCCTTTTCCAGAACTCGGCCATTTCTGCTTCAGCTTTTAACTGTTGGGTTGACATGGGGATTCTGGAGAAGATGAACATTTATTAATTTTGCAGAACTGAGAAAATAACTACAGAAAAGAATTCACTAAAACAGAAATGGCTAACAGCAAAGACATAAAACAAATGGGTTCTACTTTTCTTGGACAACTGTTCATCTGAGGGAGTCCGGGTCCTGAGATCTGAGATGTTATTGCATATTACATAACAGTTGTCTAAAAACTAATAACTATTCACACATTCATGAAATCTGAAGACTATCTTGAACAAAAAACTTGGCTAATGAAGGATAGTTTCAGATGGATATTTTGAAATGCTAAGAGGGTTATCACAATTAATCTAAATGTATCTGCATAAAGTCACAATTAGAGGGATGTATTTTTCACCTATATCTTAACCAGTGTACATGTAGCTGAAAATTGATAACCCTGATATATGTTTTTTGAGACACAAATCTTAACAAGGCATTAACATGCAAAATGTCACCACCTACCATTTGTTACAGAGGCAAAACGCCAAACAAGAACTTCTGCCACAAAAAATGTTGGAGGTAATAATAATATCTCATCACTTCTGGTGGTGACATAAAAATACTTAATTTAACTTACGCCATTTTTACTAGAGAATTGAGGTTAGGTTTGCTGAATGCGATTGCTTGTGAAGTGGGCTTGATTATGCATGTCTGCCGCAGGAAACCTGATCTTCCACAAGCTGTCAACCTGAAATATTAGAAATTACTAAATGTACAATCTGTTTTGAACAGAATCATTAGCCTCTTAAAAAATTAACATCAAAGGTGTTGTTATTTTAATACTATACATGTACTTGACTAATCATATTGAAACTTGGTTCAGATATTCCATAAAGATTACTCAGAGTTAATACCTCAAAAATAAAGCTTCTGCAATTTGATTGAATCATTCAAGGTTATAATGGTAACCTGATGTGATGTCACATGGGCAAATTTAATTTTGTAAAAAATATATAAACCAAAATAAATATCAATAATTTCTCAATATGTAGGCGCTCATGTGGTGTCCAAAGGTGGGCCCATCAGTGAGCAAATTTAAATCACATTAGTTATCGAGGGAAACATGTCAGATTAAAGGATTTGGAACTTTAACAGGAAAAAAACTACCATTGTGGATAGCTTTTTCATGTTTTATATTGCCGAGGTCATAACTATAGCAACCAAGAAAATGTGTTTCTGAAATGGCGAATTAACAGCAATTTTCCTATGTTGTAACCTGGTTGAAGAAAGATATTTTTCTAGTGATGAATTTACATATTGTTTATGGGTTTCAAAAATGTACAACTGTATTATCTTATTCAATTGCAGATTAGGATTGACACCATTAGTATTAAAGGTCCATAGAACCCATCCCCTGAAGTCTATAAAAAGTGGTTGGGACATCAGACATGTACCAGTTTGTAATTTATAAGTACAACACCCAACATATGTCAAGAAATAATGTAGTTCAACAAGTTAAACCTAGTCTGGGCCTTATTTCTTATTTGACATTTCTTGTGGCCCGCCCTAGGTTTAACATCCGTGCCTAATACTTATTCGGCCCTTGATGCAAAAAATTTTAATGATGGCCTATGGCAGCGCATAGAATTCCATGCGCGTTTTATTAATAACTGATAGTGAGAATTTGCAACCAATGAAAGCATAGCACGGAAGTTAAACCCAACCACGGCAAGAAGAACACTCAGATTATAAATGAAAGCCGTGGTATTGGGTTTAACTTGTTGAACTAGAAATAATGTTGATATTAATGTTACCAAGATTGAAGAGATTTAGAAACATTTTGAAATACTGGCCGATTTAAAGATTGAAGTGTATATCTCTGCAATTTGAGACAGCTGCTTTTTTCGCTTTGAGAGAATGTTTACAATAAAGGCTGGTGTTTAGAATGAATCACACATCCTAGTTTTCTGAATGGGAAAAAATCTGCACAAAAAGTTACGAAAAACAACATAATTCGACGTTTTCTTCTGTGACAACATGGAATCGAGGAATTCAATCTGTAATGGATTGAGGTAAGATATATGTGCAAGGATGGACGACGCCATTTTTTCTACTTTTGAAATGTAACATGAGCTATTGAACACTCCCAATACACGAATCGGATTGGAATGACATAAATACTAACGGTGTGACCTCTAGCCCAGGCTAAGACTAAGTGGATAAGAAAAATGTGATATAATTTTGGTCGTTTTCCAATGCATAAGTGACACTCATTTTGACACTCAATTGAGCGTATTTGATGAAATTTCAAATACATTTGTAACAAACAGAGGAAGGTCATTCAAATGTCCTAAAACAGGTCATTTTCATATTTTTCCAAAAAATCCAGCAGCCAAGGTCAAATGACATTTTTTATTTAACAACAATTTGAACTTTAATCACTCATTAAATTTATCCACTTTCGAAGAACATGTGGAATATATTTTCATCCTATTTCCGCCTTGGTTATTAGTTGAAATATCATCTTCGGGGCTATTATTTGAGAGAAAATGTAAGGAAGAAATATTTACCTAACAAGTAGCGCCATTTTGTTTACGAGTTGAACTAAATACAAAACTGGACCAACATAAACGAAATTATTCTAAATTATACAACTTATTAAAAATTCGCTTGGATATAATGTTTATTATATGAATATAAAATACTTTTTTTGTTTTGAAGACCTTTTTTCAAGAATGTTTTTTACCCAGATCCCGGGGTTTTACTTTTGCAAGTGTTTTCGTCTTGTGTATTGTCGCACACCTGTGGAGCATTTGTTAATAACGTTTTCTCCTAGCTTCAAAATATATTATTTCTTCATCTTAAAGATACATAGAAGTGATTCATCGATAAGCTGAATCAAGCATTGAAATTACTTTCAAACAGTTCAATTAAATTGAGGGTCAGAACCAAATAAAAGTGTTTCATGGATTGCTGGAGTTTTAGTTATTTTATGCTCCCTTGATATGTGAAAAGTATAAATATTCGATATAATTGCGCTGATTACTTTAGATTGTGTTGACTGTATTGCAACTACGACGAGTTCTAGACAAAATGGCTTTTCCAGTTAGAACACACAGTTTATCTACAAACCATTGTAAGATTTAGTTGACCTTGCGTAGGTAAGAAGTCGACCTTTTCCCTGGCAAGGTCTGCAGTGACTTAGATTAGCTCTATTAAAAATTAGAAATGTCTTCGAATCATGTTCAGGATTTAAAACATGAAAGTTCTGGCCACAATATGGATGCAGTACATATGATACCAGTGGTATCTGCGCAAGATGAAGCTTCATACTCCATCTCACACTCGATCGCAACTAAAAGTGATACGGTTACGATATCTGAAGCATCCTCATGTAGGTCTAATCACGAAGCTAGCATACAAGGAAAGAATCCACCCGAAGTATTAAATGGAAATAAAGAACTGGATCACCATTCTGAAATCCCTGAACAAAACTTAGTTGTTTATGAAATCATTGATGGTAAAGACGCTGAAATAACACACATTCAAAATCAAGTCACTTATGAAAATGAAGCTGGTACATCATCCGGTTTTGGATCAGTTGCATCAGCTGATTCACTGAGTGAAAATTCTGCCAATGTGCAAGTGGATGATGAATTATGTGTAATAGAAAGTGAAGTAATTCACCTTCCAGATTCAGCTCAAGAATTCTCGAATACCAATATGAATAATGACATTCCCAGTAGTGAACATGAGAGTCAAAATTTGCCATATTGTGTAATATGTGGCGATAAGGGGTCAGGATTTCATTACTCTGTATATTCATGTGAAGGCTGTAAAGGATTTTTCAAAAGAACAGTGCAGAAGAACTTGACATATAAGTGTAAAGATAATTTTCACTGCGTTATAAACAAGTTTACAAGAAACAATTGCCAGTTTTGCAGATTCCAAAAATGCATGCAAAATGGAATGAAGAAAGAAGGTAAGAATAGGAATAATTCGGTTATATGAAATATATGGAAATATTGTTTAACCTATATATAGGGTGAACCAAAAAAGGTAACCCAAACAAATTTTAATAACTCTGTAATCCAACATGGATTTGAACTCATATTTCGCACACTTAAACCCTGTTCAATGTTCTTTTATTCGACTAAGCTTCATTGATTTACTTTACATGGTCACGATTTTATGGCCATTTTTAGTCATCAGTCATGTCTCATAGAAACATAAATCACATTCAAGTATCTGATAAAATTGAAGGTATCAAATTTGTCCCTCTTGACGTTAAACAGATCCATTTACTATAATTGAAGCTATAATATGCGTCACTATGTTGCAAGCAATGTCCATAACATAGAATATAGTTATAAAACATAAGTTCTATAATATAATATTACATGACTCATTTTTTCAAACCCAGAATTCAACTTTGTTAAACGCTAACGAAGAGTTAAAAAAATACTCAATCAAGCAAAAATATGTCTGTAGTAACCTTTGTATTGACTTAGGTGTAGTCTAGCTACAGAACCCTGTGACCACCCTCCCTACTTGACATTAACACAATTCTCACACATGTGTCACAAGGTCTTATAGCTAGGCTATAGCTAGACTAACTTAGGTGTTACTTGGTTTGATCTCACCTTATTTGCAGCTTTACATTTTAAATATATAAGCATCATATATCAAATTTTAGATTTACCTGCAGGAATTTTGCTCTAGTCCATTGAAAACATTGAATTGGAAGTGTCCTATCAACAAGATGGATTCCAAGATCATACAAAAATTCAACTTTTTCATGGTATAAAAATTATACCATTTAACCACAAGTGGTGACATCTTGTTATGTGGATGCTACTGTAGATACACTTAAATTTGGCCACCATTTTAACTTGACGGATTGGCAGATTGAAAAAATTCAAATTGAAAATCCCCCAGTTTTCAGATCTATTTTAGAAAATTCACAGGGAATTTGTACTTTGCAATTATTTCCGTATTTGGATGTCAGTGCTATACCAAGAATTACTGTTAGCAGAACACATGAATCTGAAATGCTTATTTCCAGATCAATGATAAAACTTGAGGTCAGCCCTTACTCCGCCAAATTTAATATCCGCCAATATTTGAAATTGAGCAAATCCGCCAAATTAAGTCACGTCAAATTAAGTGTATATACAGTATTTTTGTTGGTGTTTCGCATTCGGCAGTTGATGTTCGGTGGTTGATGTTTGGCATTTGAACAAATGGTAAGTGGTGACATTTTGCATGTTAATGCCTTGTTATTTTATGAACAAATAATTTATCCTTGGTTCACACATTTTTAAATATTGTTAGGTCACCACCAAAAAGTGGTGACATATTGGTTTTTTGGTCGTTTGTTTGGTTTTTTTGTAGTGGCGGTTGGTTGTTGGCGATCGACATAACAAATTCTTCTAATAACTTAACAAATACTGCTTCGACTGACTTCAATTCTTTTCAAAATCATCTACAAGTTTTCAGAAGTTTAAATCTGGCTTTATATTTAAGATGTGACCTTCAGTGGTCTTTTCAAGGTCACAAAACGTGAAAAAGGTCAAAAGCATTTTTTTATATTGCTCCAAGTTGACCAAATTTCTTTTTCAAAATCATGTACAAGTTATCAGAAGTTCAAATCTGATGTCACCTACGATGACCTTCTCGAGGCCAAAAAGGTCTTTTTTTCAACTTGCTATCATCGACAAGTTCTCAGAAATTCAAATCTTAAGATTGAACTAATAATATTGTGAGCAACTAGGTGGTGACATTTTGTCATGTTAATGCCTTGTTGTCATCTTAAAGTAGTGTTGCTGGGGTTTGACTGGATATCTGCTTGGTGGACAGGCTTAAATCTCATCTTTTAAATTCTGTTCAACTTTTCACAGATTCAAGGGCAGACTAGCATTAAGGTCTGATGAGGTTTTGGACATGCTGGGTAAATTACATGATGCCTATTGTAAATTTTTCAAAAAAAATAATGTCTGCTGATTCAAATTGCTATCCGTCCCATGTACACACTTTATGAATATCCTTTCGAAATTGCTGCAAGTGGTAACAAAAATTGTATAAGTCTTAGATTCTATACACTATTGCTATTGCTTTTTGTAGCTGTGCGTGAAGACAGAACACCCGGGGGAAAACATCGTCATAAACGCCTTAAGACAGACGGTGCCTACACAGTTGTTGGAACTAATATATTAGAGACCTTAAACCTTTCAAGTGACCTGGATGTCCTTTTAGGGAAACTTGTTGCTGCAAAGCCAGATACAGTTCCTTTAACAGAAGGTAAAATAGCATGTAATTATTTCACTGTCATATTCAGCAGGCCATTGTGACATCGGAAGTATATTCCCGATGCCATTTATTACAAGAAATTATACTTCAATAACTCTTGAATATATCGGCTATGGGATTTCGCTCAATTTATTTTGATGTTGCCTTTTGAGTTATCACCTTACTGTACCCCAGAGGCAATATTCAAAAATGGCTGAGATTTAACTCAAATACTAGTTGTTAGATTTGCTTCATATTTATGAACTGATGTCATATGAGTATGAATGAAACTTCTACTTGGATATCTGAATTGGCACTTTTATAAATAATATGACCTTACAGTAGGGGAGAATCTGGGAATCCACACTACATACAGGGGTTCAATAAAGGTATGGTAAGTAATTTGGGACCAATTAGCAAAACCTTTCTTTCCCTCTATTCCCAAATTAGGCAATTTTGTCAGAAATTTGATTAATTCAGGATCTGTGAGAGAAAATAAGCTAAACTTACAGCCTTACAAACAAGCTTTAAACTTAAAAATTGAAAGGTTGTTTTGAGCAAATGGCTGCATTTTTAGGCCTATCTCAGAATGAAAAGCAAGAAATTGTGATGTCCTACAGTGTGCATTTGTTAATCTTATTTCAGAGACAACTGACGTGAATCAGCTGACAGTGAATGAATTGATGCAGTATGGTTATATGGAACTGCGCTTTATCATTCAATGGGCAAAAAAAGTTCCAGGTAGGCAGTTTGATATTCATTACTGTTGAGATTTGATCATTTTTCAGAATATATTTCGAGTTGAGCGACCACATTAGTCATTCAATAACAGAGCCTGGCCATAGGAAAACTGGTCTTATCACAAAAATTAAAATTGTGCTACAGAGCCAAAACTCTGCCCAAGATTAAGAGGAAAATGTGCTAAATTAAAATCCGACTTTTTGGTCTATATATGCAAGGAAAAATCGTTATTTCATAAGTCATGGCTCATTTGAAAGGTCTTTTTGTGCTTTTTAAGATAAATAAAAAAACAAAATATTGAAAAATCTGTGATAAGACCCCTTTTCCTGTGGCCTGGCTCAACATATACTTGACTTGTCTTAGGCAAAACAAGTCTGAAAAACAAGTCTCAAGTGCTTAGGCAAAACAAGTCTGAAATAACCTTTGTACTTTAGCTGGAGGTTTTGGATATAGAGCATATCCTGAGAGGTTCTACCTATATCTCTGCAAGTGGCAATAGTGCCAAGAGAGGTTATTTACTGGAAGGGATTGAATATGGGTTTGTTCCACTAGAATTTTTCCTTATGCTATTTCCCAATATGATGAAATAATGCACAAAAAAAATATTCATACTAAGATATGACATGCATTTACAAACCCTAAGTATGTTATTGTTGGATCTTGTATGAATGAGAGCCAATTCCTCTAAGGTAATTTATTGTCTCCATTTTTCTGATGGCGGTTGATGGTTGGCGGTTGGCGTCTTTATCAAATTCTTCCAAAAAAACGGTGATAGAGTAATTCTGTAGATAAATTATGAGTACATCTAAATGTATATACTTGTAATAATGACATATTATCTTTTGGCATGGTCGTCATCTTGAGAAATGATAGCTGGCAGACTTGTCTGATACTTATTAGATGTTCGATAGGATTTGCTATGCTTTGACATTTACCTTCTCATCATCAAGTTAATATTAAAAGGCATTCTACATGTAACGTTCATAGCATCACTTTAACTTTGCATCTCAGATCCAGAAAGACAGAGATGGAGCAGACATGGCTTACTTCGATGATTAAAGGTTACACAATATAGTTTCCTCTGTCATATATAATAGAGATAGGGATATTATGTAACTTGTCTATTATAGCTCTTGGCAGTGTACACCTGCCAGAGAATCACATTAGCAGGTTGTTTCAGATGGGAGTGTATTGGTTTTATCATTGATAAAAGAAAATTCATTACTTTTCCAACCATATTTTTCCAATGTGATATAATTACCTGTATATGTAGTGAAATTATTAAAGAAAATAAAGAAAACGAAGAAGAAATTCAGTTATTACTGTTTTAAATCTTCAGATAACTACATGAAATCACATTATTCTTTACTGTGTATGTGTATATATTTATAAAATTGTGGTGTACATGATGTGCTATGTATTACAATGCTACTGACTGGTATTCTTCATTTTCAATAATGATTTCAGTAAAGATTTCACCTCTTCTGCCATACCTGACAAAGTCTGTCTTATTATCCCATCGAACGAAGTTTGGAGGGATATAGGGAACGCCTCCGTCCGTCCGTCCGTACGTACGTCCGTCCGTCCGGGCAATAGCCCAAATACTGTTGGCCCGATTTTGTTCATATTTTGTACACATATACCCTATGGGGGTAGAAGTTCTGCTCGAAAGCTGATTTTCAAAATGGCCGCTCATTTCAAAATGGCGGCCATTTTAGTGCCGAATTTACAGTAATTTAGGTGCAATATGTAAAACTGTAATAGCAATATGTTTTAGATATAAAAAAATTATATAGGACATAAATAAAGCTAGAAATGTAGATTTTAAAGAAGCACATGGCAGCCATCTTGAAAAATGGCGGCCTTTACTCGTTATTTTACGATTTTTGCTGTAACTCGAAAAGTAGTGGAGCGATTTTGTTCATATTTGGTATGTGAATACTATAAACATTGCACACTGTCTAAAGACACTTTTGGTAGAAGGCGGCCATTTTGAAAAATGGCCACCATTTTAACGTATTTTACTATAACTCTGTCCTATGACACTTTTGGTAGAAGGCGGCCATTTTGAAAAAAAATTTGAAAAATGGTCGCCATTTTAACGTATTTTACTATAACTCAAAAAGGAGTGAAGCGATTTTGTTCATATTTGGTATGTGAATACTATAAGCATGGCACACTGTCTAATGACACTTTTGGTAGAAGGGGGCCATTTTTCAAAATGGCCGCCATTTTAACGTATTTTACTATAACTCGAAAAGTAGTGGAGCAATTTTGTTTATATTTGGTATGTAAATACTATAAGCACGGCACACTGTCTTATAGCATTTTTGGTAGAAGGTGGCCATTTTGAAAAATGGCCGCCATTTTAACTTTTTTACTATAACTTGAAAAGTAGTGGAGCGATTTTGTTCATATTTGGTATATATGAATACTATAAGCATGGCACATGGTTTAATGACACTTTTGGTAGAAGGTGGCCATTTTGAAAAATGGCTGCCATTTTTGCTATATACTTTGTTTGTAAAAATGCCATCCATGGCTGTTCGATGAGATTCGCTACGCTTTGGCGTTGCCGTTGTTCTGGTTTACTATAGTACTGGGGTCTATCAATTAAATGTAATTGTGATGTTTGATTTATTTGAAAATTTGTTGCATCCATTTGTACTATTCATGTTATTACATTTCTAAAGTCATGTCATCATCATAACATCTTTTAACGAATGAACATAGTTTTAACTTGTGTGACACAAAAATATATATATCATGTATTCATGATATGATTTCTGCTATCTCAGATGTCTTTTGTTGTCTTAATTTTGTTCAAAAGTAAAAGCGTAATCAGCGCAACATTATGTTCTCCTTTCCAGGGTTCCAAGGTTTAAAAACAGTTGATCAGATGAGTCTGTTAAAGTCTGCGTTCATGGAGTTGAACATATTACGCCTCGCTTATAGGTATGTCTAGTTTATAATTTTTATTATAGATTGTCTCATGCATACTTTTTGAAAATCTATTACCTTAATTTGAACTGAGTGATGCCTTAAGCCAAATTTTACCTTTAATACCCTGTATGCAAGAAATTGATTGTCAACGTAAGATGCTGATATTATTAGTAGGTTAGGCTGATCTCATTTCATCATCAGAGGCCTAACACTATCTGACTAAAGTATATTCCATTTTGTTCAACCTTTTGACATGGCAGTCTTACATAACAGTCAAGAAAAAATTGATTTTTATTGCTGGACCACATTCAGGCTTTCAATTTTTAGAACAGCCAGCCACATTTCTTTTTTAGGTATTTTGAAAAATGTTTTCTTCCATGAACCTGATTTATTTCTCTTAAGTCGTGAAAAATGTATGAGAGTAACACCTATACCAATGCAACTCAATGAAGTCATATTGCATGGAAATGGAAAAAATTGAAATAATTCTGTTGCTTCTTTATGTATATGAATAAGCATTTCCAGAACTTCTCATCAATAATCATAGCAAGGACCCACTGGGGTACCCTGTACTATGCTCTGAAAGTCCTCCTTTTTGAAAAGAAGGTCGGATATATGCAATCATATCAATTTGAATTTCAGATCTTTGAAGGTAGAAGATGGTTATATTGCATTCACCGATTCAATCGTACTTAACATGAGCCAGACTACAGCTATGGGATGGGGAGAATCTCTAGTCTCCGCAACTCTGGATTTTGTAGATAGGTTGAAATCTGTCAGTAATCCAGATCTAACTGAGTTCTGTGTCATGAATGCGGTTGTCCTTTTAGCACCAGGTAGGGATGCAATCAATTGCTCAAGAAGCAAACATAGATTTATATCGATTTTTGATGTCATCCTAGTTGTGTACTTTATTTAAGTGAGTTAATGGGTTCAAATGCCTTAAGGGAGTACAAAGGTAAGCGTTCTTACAAAATGGCAGTGAGATATTAATATGGTATCACTGGCGGATCGAGAACTAACTAGATGGGGACCCAAACTTTGAGTCAGGAAAAAAAATTTGGGCCCCTAAAGTTTTTGAAAATTAAAGGCCCATATTTTGTTAATTTTAAAAAGGACCCGTGGGCCACCAATACCGATGCCAACACCGATGATAATTACTCATTGAGTAATCAAAAAATGCTATGCGTACTATTTTAGTACTCAGCATATCTCCCTGTGTATAAGGCAAAGAATAAGAAAATGTACTTATCTTCAGACAATAAAATTGATATTTGATGGTAAAGTGGCACATTTTTGTAAATATTGCTTCCAGCATTTACACTTTCCAATCTTTACTGTAAGTTTTACATCTTTATAGATGCTGCTGGGATAACAGAGAAATCCACAGTAATGGCTCTTCAGAATAAGATTCTTGAAGCACTGCGCCATTACCAGCTCCAGACTTACCCTACTGACAGTAGGCGCTATGGAAAAATGTTGCTACGGTTACCTGCTTTAAGGACAGTTAGTGCCAAGGCAACTGAGCAGTTCCTTACATTGACTGTAGAGGGATCTGTTCAAATGGATACATTGACCTCAGAACTGTTGGGATAAAATAAGTAATAATAGTCCTAAGCTCTTAATAGGGTATTAATGATACTGTACTCTTGGTTATTTTCACGATTTTTAATTTCACAAATTTGGAGAAATCACAATTTCGCTGCTATTAATTTTTTTCATTAGTCACAATCATAAAAAGCATGAAATTAAATCGCACATGAAAAATACCAGGATTACAGTTATTGTAAATGGATGAAACGTAACAATGATTGCAGCAGTAAGATCACTCTTAAAAATATTCAACATATGAATAATAATTAAGTTGCAAATTAACATGTATGGTCTTTCTGATTAATTACATATACAAGGGTCGATCAAAATGTTTCTTCCCATTGGCTCTAGATTTTATAATAAGAGGAGTTGGATGCTCAAACTTTAACATGAGACAGGGTAGTTAGTTTGCTATACAAGTTTTGTATGAATTGGTTTATTGGTAGCGACATAGAGTCAATACATATTTTCAATGACTAAGTTAGGTGGAGCAGTGTTATATATAAAAAAATCTGCTGAGTTGCAGTTCTAAAGATTTACCGACAGCATTTACAACCTCTCATGAGGCCTTAAACCTGTGTTTTTGGATTGGAATGACAGATATAGGAAGTGCATCGCAACTGGGGTTGAATATTTTGAAAGAGCATGAATATTAGCATAAAAACTACTTAAATATGATTAAACTACAGTCTGCTGACAGATTGTTCAGAAATTTCATAAACTGCAGCTTAGCACAATTTTTTAGTTACAATATTATATACTTGTATAACGCTGCTTCACCTAACTTATTCATTGAAAATATGTATTGACTCAATGTACCAATACCACTAACAATAAACCAATTTATATGAAACGTGTACAGTACAGTAAAACCTGTATTAGTTAACAGCTCTCTCTAGTGAACACCTGTCTCTGTGAACATTATTCGTCCCCCCATACTCTACCGACTTCTGTATAAATTACCCTCCCTGTAATTAACACCCAGCAATGATAAAAATGTTGAATATACAAAGATTTTACTGTACACTAGTGTTGTCGCGATGTGCCATAATCGTACATCGATGCATCGGCAATTTTCAGTAGTAAACATCGATGCACATCGCGATGTACATAGAGAAAAAGTTTGAGAAAAGTGCACTGAAATACCGAACTCTAATGCACTAAGAAACCGAACAGAACAAATTAATAAGAGTACACTGGTGCATCCGGGAACTTCTAGTAACGGTGAAATGAAAGTAAAGTAGATTTTTTAAGAAGAATGGTTCATTTCGACAACCTAAAACAGTTTTAAAGCGAAAGAATATCAGAAAACATTGGAAAATGAAATAAGACATGAAAAAAGGTAAGCAATTTGCGTCAAAATAAGATAAGAAAAGGCGATTTTTAGCAAATTAATTTTTTTTAAAACATCGATGTTTTGTTTCAGACATCGATGCATCGCCAGAATCAGCTTTGGCGATGTATATCGCGATGTATCGATTAATCGCGACAACACTACTGTACACTGATTAATACACTATGACTGTACACTTGTAAATTGAGAAGCTGTTATGTAGATATGTGTTAATTAATAATGTAATGTCATACTGCTGTCTTATGTAATGTGGCTTGATTGGGAACATTTGAAATGCATGTACCAAATATGAAGTCTGTACTATGGAAATGGATGTATATACTCACAGATTTGACATATTTATGAGACTTTCAGGCAAGAGCATCACATGTAAGTCTTGCATTAATCCCTTGTAAACCCCTCCCCTCATGATCTTTATGATGCACACCCAGGCCCATAACAAGGGGGGTCGGAGGGTTCGAGTGACCCCTCGACTAAAAACTCCTTCAATATCATGCATTGTTTGGCTATTCTGAGCATTCTTCGAGTGATTTTGGCCAAAATTGTCAAATTTGAGCCACCCCCAGAATTTTTTGAACCCCTTTGGCAAAAATGGTTACGGGCCTGACACCTGTAAGGGAGCGGAACCATTGACTTCCTCTTGATGCAAGACTAATGTTTGAGCATGGATAAGTCTATGATATGAGATTACAAGAGTACAAGGTGTCCCAAAGCTATTTGACTCTAAATCTATTTTTATCAATAATGATGGTGCATGTATCTTCTATTGTGTTCAATGGAGCAACTTAAGTTGGCTTGTGTCAGATGTCATATACAGCATACAGTATGAAGTTCTCACAATATGAATTAAATTTATTTGGGCTTTATTTATGGGTTGTATTTTTGGGTCACCCTGTATATATTTAGACCAAAAGACAATTCTAATCCAATGATGAATTTGGCATTGGATTAAGTATTTTAGTATATCAACTGATACTAATAGATGTTTATATTGTGCCATACTATAAGTTATTGAATGATTTGAAGTGCAATACAGGATATATTCTGCTCGAGAAATTCCGTATTGGAACGAGACGAAGTCGAGAATATCGGGACAGAATATCGAGACAGAATATATCCTGTATTGCACTTCAAATCATTCAATAACGTTTTTATCGTGTGATCCTCTGTATTGCTACTGAGAATGTCCCCTCCGTACCAATATTTTTTCTGTATTGCGACGGAGATTATCAACGGGGACAATCTCAGTAGCAATACAGATTGGTACAGCACAAGAACTGACCAATCAGAGAGCTTCATTTTACAGATCATACGATAAATTAGCTTACTAAATGTGTCCGGTGTTGGATACTTTAGGGCCTGTTTTTACATGATAATGTATGCATGCTAATACAGCCATATATGTATATCTTACTTGATCTGCAAAAATTGTCATGTTAAGTTCGTCATTGACTGATATAGTTCTCATGATGAACACACCATAGTAAAAGTACAGTAATACTATAGGTGAAAGAGAAGGTCATGTAAACTGTAAAAAATATGAAAGTTGTAAGATTTTTTTGTGGTCCTATGTATCGTTTGACTATCTACTGCACCACTAATAAAGTATTGTGATATCATGGTTAGTGACTTATTAATAGTGTAGTGAGTTTGGTTGAATATACTGTACCTGTATGTATAGTGTAGATGTTTTATTGTGCAGATATTCAGATCCATCTTGCATTTTGTCTCTAGTCCCCACACCATCTGTGTATAAGAGAGAATTGGGGTTGGCTAAGAGAAGAGCATGGCAAGACTATTGAACATACGCCATTTTACTGTTAAAGGCCCACTTTGCGTATTTTCAATTTTTTGGGCAAAATAAAGACTTACATTTGAAATTCATAATATGTCCAATTGATTGATATTAGAACTTGGTATTTCATTAGACACCAAAAAACAGCTCAAATCAAGAGTAATTTAAAACATGCACTTTGTTTAACATGTGCACGCACTGCTAATGATCTCTGAGCTTCAAATGTTGTTTTCTAGGTGAGTTATATTTTTCTTGGTTCAATATTAAAACAAATCAAGCTTTTTGTCATATTTGAATGGGTGTGAGAGTAACATGTTTCAATGAATATTTTTCCCTTTTTTCTTAATTGAGTATAGTGGGCCTTTAAGTTCAGTATACTAGTAAGTAACCTCTCGTGATGGAGATAAACACTGCATAAGTTATGATGCTGAGACTTAAGTCGTGTATCAAGTCTTTACCCTCATTATCTAAGAATTAACGTGAAGCGTAGTCAGGATGAGACAGATGAGACAGACTTTTTTAACATCCTTGAGAAATATTCCTCTATCAATGTTGAGTTGTAAATTAATTGTATAATTTTTATCAATTTTTGATCTTACGTCTTCAATTTCTGATTCAATTGTGCATAAATTCATCATGTAAAGCCGTATGTAGATTATGTTCTCAAGTTTCAAAACTTATTGCATGGTTTGTTCTCTCAAGATGGAGTCAATTATATAACACAACTGTATGATTACAGGTGTACATTCAAAAAGCTTCTTAATTGCCCTCATATTTTCATAAGTACTGTAGATACACTTAATTTGGCCCCCGTTTTAATTTGACAGATTGGCGGATTCAGAAAATCCGCCAAATTAAAAATCCGTCAAATTTCATTTTGGATTTTTTGTCGAATGCACTCCAGAAATTAAACTCCAGGGGCCCTTTTCCTTTTCATGTCATCAATTCTACATTATTCCAAAAGAAATACAGAAAATATCTTAGTAAACACCTGTCCTTATGACATAAACACAAAAATTAAACTTCAGTCCTGAATCCAAATTAAATACCCACCAATATTTGAAATTGAGCAAATCTGTCAAATTAAGTAGCGTCAAAATAAGTGTATCTACAGTAAGTCTAAAATCCTGTATGTGTGAGTCGAAGGGCTCATATATACTGTATTGTTTATATATCAAGTCAACATAGTGCTCATATATATATATTTATAACACATTCAATATTTATGCCTATACTAGTCAGTGGTAATGCATTTAAAGTGGTAAGATAAAGACATTTTTTAAATTTGGCAACAAATGTTGCCATGGTAATAAGTAAGTGAACTTCAGTTAATTTGACTGTTATATCATGATTTCTAGAAAGTGCTAGGTAACTCAACTTGTAACCAGGTAACCATCATGAGAAATCATGGCCTTCTATTAGCTTCACACTAGTATGCCATGAGAAAGTTGGAGCCTACCTTCAATCTAGGCCCGTATAGTTTTCTTGAAAATGCTGAGGGCCAATCAAATCAATTATAGAGATTGACTGACCAATGAGATCATTTTAGAGGCTATGAACATCTTGATGGACATCCTTATCTTACCCTGATTGGGGTCATAAAACTAAATGTGTTGATACCACTTGAGACAATAACAAAGTGACAATACAATATTATGTAACACATGTAATGTGTCAACATTAAAGGGCCATAAATACTTGAAAAACATCACACTTAAAATGTTGTGCCCCTCCCATCTGTTGATATCAGATCGAAGAGTGTAAACAACTAAATCAGAGCATATTTCTAGTTGAAGACAGGAAGATGTGATGAATATCAGAATGCCAGGTAACAGTCATATGAAACTATGATGAAGATAACTGTCATATCAGATCTGATCATGTAGTATACATGTTTGTCATGTAATCTCATATTTCTCATCTGGTCTAGCATTTCACATATTACATATTTCATCCAGGTGCTTCAATTTAATGAAGTTTTCTTCTTTAAGGGTATATAACATTTTGAACCAGAGTTTTATAATTCATATGTGTAGTGAGCTATTACCAATAGCTGAACATGTCAAAGCAGGATTACATACATTGGAATGTCCATGAGATTTT